CTGTCAACCCTGAATAAGCTCCTGCTCTGTCAGCAATTCACAGGCAGTGGGACCCTATGGACCTCAGCTCAATATATCAAAAGCTGTAGTGAGCATCTTTGAGCTATAATAGAGCACTCTCAGCTCCTTGTGGCAGGTGAGTTTGCCAAGAGGCACCTTAGAAAGAAGCAGAGTTATCGCACAGAGACCATTGGTGGGGAAAGGGTTGGGAACTGACCCAGGGCATGTGATTGACTGTTTTAGATGTTGGGCTGGGCAGATCTGGGACACTGGGGGTGGGCAACCCCAACAGTGGAGCACAGACTCTGTCGCCCTCTCGTGGGAGAAGGAAGAACTTCATGGAGTGTACAAAAGACCAAGACCACAGACTCATGGAAGCCAAGACAGACTGTGGGACAAGCAGGGACCCGACAAACCAGAGACTAGAGTGGGAAGCAGTGCAGAGGGAGGGGGGACAGTGATAGGGGTCTTTCCTCCCAAGAACCAGGGTCCCTTCTTACCAGGGACACATTGCACCAGTCAACGAGGAAGTAGGGTGCCAAGGTGTCATAGCAGGACAAAAGTGGGGGCTGGCCCTGGATGCAACGGGCATGGCTGTCAGGGGATGCCACCATCTTCAGGCAAGTAGAGAAGGGTGAGGCAGAGCCCACCTTGATGTACACCCTGAGCCCAGAGAGACGCTATTGTCAACAGAGCAGGGGACACCAGGAACCCCTCTACCAGACGTCTTTGAAACTGTCCTGATTGCAGGCTATGACCTGGGGGCAGGAGAGGGGAGGACAGCGAGGGCCTGGCAAAACAGATGGCATAGCCCCTGAGATCTGGGGTTATGGTGAGAGTGCACAGAGTACCCCACTCTTCTAGGGGGCCTTAGCTCCCAAAGAATTTGGGGGTGGGCCAAACTTCTATGCCCTCATAGGGCACAGGAAGTATCGCATTCAGGGTAACAAGAGTTTGGGCTTAGCAAAGACAGGCAGGAGATGGGGGTGTGGACAGCAGCGTGAAGTTGGGAGGTAGAAGTGGATGTGGTGAAGACTCTCATGGAAATTAGGGGGACCCCTATTCTACTACTACCATCCAGACGAAAAGCAAACTGCCTCCTCTTTCAGAAAGCCCTCCTGGGTTGCACACCTACCCTTCCTTGCGGCCCTCAATGGGAAGGGGAACACGGCCCCCACGGTCTAAGGCAGAAGTGATGTTGAGCAGCTGAAGCTCCCCTGGCTCCCAGAGCCCCCCCAGGGCTGTGAGGAAGTGGCTGGCAGGCGTTGAGGGTAGCACCTCCTCCACATCATGGCTGCGCACCAGGAACTCAGCTTGGTGTGGCAGCAGAGGGCCTGAGAAGGCCAGATAGGCACCTCAGACATCACCCAGCTCCCACCTCTGCCCCAGATCCTTCCTAAGCCTTCCCCAAGCTCTTCCCCACACCCTCCACAACCCTTCGTACCCCCTAAGGCCCTGTACATCACCCCACAGGCCCGATGGCCCTTCCCACTACCCACAGCCTTGCACAAGGCCTCACAGAGGCTAGAATCCCAATTTAGAATCCCTCAGTACTGGCACTGCTGGGTAAAGGGTGAGGCCTGAAGTACCTTCTGGGTCCTCAATCACCAGCACCAATGTCTGTTGAGTGGTGTCAAAGCTGTCCCGATTATAGGCGGTGACCTAGGGGAATGGGGAGAAGAGCTAAAAGGTGGGACCAGAGGAGAAACCTGGCACAGCTGGGGCCTGGCAAGAGAGGACTGAGATGCCACCCCAGCTTAGGGGTATGTAAATTATATGTAAATGACAGTGAAGGAACATCCATTTCCCACCATCAGAGCTGCTCCTGAGAGGCCTCCCTGACCCACCCCACACCCCTGAGTTTTTGAGGGTCCCTAGTGGCACCTCGATGACCTGGCGCCCACGATCTTCTGGGGTGGCGGTGCCATAGAGGAAGCCAGGGTGGTGGGGGCTGCGCTGAGTGTAGCGGAGCCACCGGGGCAGGTCTGGGTGTCCCTGGAGGTGAGCATGATAGGTAATGCGGACGGTGGGGGGGACAGCTGGTAGAAGAGAGAGGGGATCAGAGTCATCCCAGGAGCCCCCAAGGCCACCCCAGCCCTCCCTGTGCCCTACAGACCCCTCTCACCAATGTGCTCAGGAAGGCGAAGGAAGGTTGCGCGGTCCAAAGTGTGTACAAAGACGCGACCCACAAGTGGGTGTAGGGTGGTCTGCTGGGCCATGGTGTCTCTCAGCCTGACCAGAAGACCTGTGCAGACCCCACAAGTCCCAAACTCACAGACCTGCCTCAGTCCCTTCCTCTCTAAGTCCCTGGTGATCCTATGAGACTCAGAGAAGGGGACTCCTGTGCTGGCTCCGAGGAAAGGACAGGGCATGCAGTAGGGAGGGCAGGCCTGATGGCACTGGATGCTTTCAGCAGCAGCAAGATGGATCAATGGGGAGCCACCCCCATGACAATCTTTCAGTACTCAATTGAGGCTCCCCACCACCACTCACAAGGGTTACAGTGGGCAGTTTACCTGTGTGTGTTTCAAGAGAACTTGGGAAAAAATACTCATGCTAAGTGTCTGAGAGGCTGGATGGGAGGGGGATGAGGGGTTAGTCACTCTGGGACCTGGAAACCCCCTTCTGCATCCCTTAACATGCAGATCTAGGAGCTGAGCCAAGGGGACCCTAATCCCCGAGAGAACCAGAAGATCTGCTGGCCCACCCCACCCTCCCTCTCAGAGCCAAATTTAGCCAGGGCCTAGATAGAAGCAGTGGCTGCCAGTCCGTTAAAGGACCCACAACGCTCTGGGCCTAGGCTGGCAGGCCCGCCCGGCCCTAGGACACCTCCAGTCCACAGAGCTCACAGCCCCACATCCCAGAGCCTAGCTCCCAGCCCATTCCCTGAACCCCCTGTTGGCTGTGGCTTCAACACCCCAGTGCACTGCTGGCCCCTGCCTCACCCCCTCCCCTAGCCCTCCTCTGAGAACACCCATACTTCCATGTCATTATCCTGAATCCCCTTCCTGATCTTTGGCCTCCCCCTGAAGAAGGCCCCAACTTACCCACAAGGAGAGGAATCCAGGTTAGTGTTGCTGCCATGGCTGTGCCTGTCTGGCCAGGCCTTATGAGTGACAGAGACAGGGGCAGGGAGGAGTGAGAGAAGGAGGGAGGGAGAGGAGGTGTTCCCAAGCAGCTGGCGCTGCCCCATCCCTGCCCAGAGCAGGACTGAATTGGGAGGACATCCTCCTCACACACAGTGTCCTCTAATTATCCCCTCTGATGGTCATGTTATGTTTTCTAAACCCCCAACCTGGCTACCTTGGTCCTCCCTTAAAATCCTAATGGCTCCCATTCTCCTTGCTTTCCCAGCTCATGCCCAGCTGAGGGCTTTCTAACTCTTCCCTTTGACTGCCCCTCCCTGGTGTGACAGATGCTCTGAAGTCTCTAGCCTCTGCCCAGCTGTTCCCTCTGCCTGGATTCCTTTCCTGCCTTCATCTAAGACGCAAACTTCCAGTCCCCCTTCCAGACTCTGCACAGATATCTCCTCTCTCTGAAGACTCTCTGTTCTCCTTCCTTCTCCTAGGCCAAGCTGGGTGCCCCCTTAGTTAGTGACCCAGCCACACAGCACCAGGGAGTAGTATAGGGGCTTTGAGCTCCTCAGGGACCAGGATCTTATTATCTTTGCATCCCTGGACCTGGAACAGGGCATGGGTGACTTCTAGGTGTAGTGGCTGGGTGACAACTTCCTTAACAGCAAATGAATGGCCATTCACTCAGTCCTTACTTCCAGACCAAGCACCCTCATTGTGTACGTCTGGGAAGAGAAAGCGCCCTGGACAGGAATAGCCGAGTAGAGACAGGTGGGCAGTGGAGGTGACCTCTCAGGCAATGGAGTCGGGGCTAAGCACACGGGCCTGGAGGTAGGCATGCGTCTCCCCTTAGCCACAGCTACAAACAGGCAAGAACAGTGCTTGCCTCCTTGGGTTCTTGTGAGGGATCACACAGCAGTTCCATGAGCAGACATTACAGCTATCCTTGTTTTATAAAAGATAAAACTGAGGCACAAGGGTGCATCGCTTCCCCAGGGCCATGTTGCTGAGTAGTTGAATGCATGTAAAGTGCTTAGCCCAGTACCCCTGTCAACGCAATTGTGGGCACTCCTTCCCCTTTCTTCTGGAGTCTGCCAAAGAATCTTGGTCCAAGCATGAATGGGGTGGGGGGCCCTTCTCTCCCAGACTCCCCCACTAGAGCAGGCAAAGGGGCATTCAGCCCAAGGGCCCATGGCTGCCAGGGATCCCAAATCTTAGTGCCTGTGTGAGAATGCCTCAGGGCTTCAAGATGAAAGGTATTGTCCCATCACCCCCACAACCAAACGCCCCAGGCAAGGCAGGCTGGGTCAGGCCTAAGGGCGAGGGTGTTGCCCTGCAAACTGGGGTGACTGGTGGGAAGGTTACTTAGTCCTTGTCTTTTCTTCCTTTCTCTACCTGACTGTCCCACCCATCCCTGGAGAGCCACCAAATTCCAGAGTCAGCATCCACTCAGGCTCTCAGACAAGGTGGTATTTCTCCCAGAATCACCTTGGCATCTCTCTGCCAGCTCAGAGACAGATGGAGGAGGGAGAAAGGTTTTCTGGAGACAGAGGGTGAGTTAGAGGGCTGGTTGGGGCGGGGGTGGGGGGGCAAGCAGAGAAGCCAGAGCTTGGTAAGCTGCCCAGGCCTCACCCCTGAGCTTATCCATGTGACTCCCATCCCTCCACCACCCCGCCCCTCTGCTATTTTTGGAGCCACCCACTCACACCCTCAGCTGTCTTAAGGTAACAGTGCCTGCACCCTGAGTCACCAGGCCCACGGAGGCCAGTCTTCCTCAATGGAAAAGATGTGACCACCTTTCCCTCTGATCCCCCCAATTCAGGGAAGCCAGGGACCATCCCAGGAGCCAGCTGGAAGTCCCCAGAAACCTTTCTTGGCCCCTAGGCCACAGGAGGACCTCCCCATTCCAAGCTGTCTTGATTGTAATCTGCTGTTGTAATAGGCAGCACCTTCTCTCTCTTGGGAACTAGCATCCATGGGGGTTCTCACAAGGTCTTTAAACTTCTGACTCTGGGAAAGAAATTAAAAGTATATAGAATGATATAATGAGTCCCCATGTATTTATCACCCAGATTCAACGGTTATCAACTTAAAGCTGATCTAGTTTCATCCATACCCTGCCAATTTTTCCCTCCCACTTAAATTTATCTGTCAGTATTTCAGTGTGTATCTTTGAAAGATAATGACTCTTTTTAACATAATACATGTTAACATCATCAATAACTTTTTTTTTTTGAGACAGAGTCTCACTTTATCACCCTCAGTAGAATGCACTGACATTATAGCTCACAGCAACCTCAAAATCAAATGATCCTCTTGTCTCAGCCTCCCAAGTAGCAGGGACTACAGGCACCCACCCCAACGCCCAGCTATTTTTAGAGATGGGGTGTTGATCTTGCTCAGGCTGGTCTCGAACTACTGAGCTCAAGAGATCTACCTGCTTCTGCCTCCCAAAGTGCTAGGATTACAGGCATGAGCCACTGCGCCCGGCCTCATCAATAACTCTTTAATATCAAAGTTCCAGGGTTCAAATTTCCCATTTCTCATAAATGTCACTTTTTTTACAATATGTCTGTTTAAATAAGGATCCAAATAAGGTGTGCACACTGCAAACTGATTGGTAGGTCTCTTTAAAATCTCTTCAGATCTGTAAGTTTCCCCATATACCTCTCTCACTTCTCTCTCTCCCTCTCTTTGAAGGAACCAGTTCATCTGTAGTTTTCCACAGTCTGGATTTTGCTGATTGCATGTCTGTGGTGTTCGCTGTCAGGTTCCCCTGACCTCTGCATTCCCTGTACATTGTAGTGTCCTGTAAATTGTAGTTGGATCTAGAAGACTGATCAGGTTTATGTTCAAGCGTCTTTGGGAAGACCACTTCAGGTGGCGGTGGTGTTCTTCCATCTGGAAACACACCATGTGTTTCTGTGGTCTTCTGTGAGTTCCCTCTCCCCCATGGTGATATTCAAAATTCAGTCATTCCTTCCTTTGTTAGATAGAATAATTCTAGACAGAGAAAATGCTCTCACGATTTGGTTACTGAGTGAATGGTATAGTTCATATGGGAAAGACGGGATAAATGCTTGATTCTTTTTCTGTATTCATCAGTTTTAAAATAAGTTGATTCCCTGGCATCCTCCAGACTGTAACCAATTCAGGCTTTTTCCACTAATAGTATAATTATGAATTTATGGTTTAAACATTTGATTGCTTCAATCCCTTGCAATGAGTGTACCTCCTGGTGCTCAAATTGTCCCAATTAGAGTGTCCGTCTCCGGGAATTGGAGGGTATGTCTCACCGCCTCTCCAGGCCTAGTCTCACCCGGAGCTCCCATTGCAGCAGCTTTCTCCTGCCACCCAGCCTGCCCTGAGAGAGCTGGTTCTCTGTCCATGCTTCTTTGCCATCTCTGCCCATCAGTGCCTAAATTCAAGCCCTCTGGTCCTTTGTCCCTATCTCTCCCCGTCCCAGACAATATTTGCTTAATGAATCAATGAATTCTGTCAATTCTGTCCCATTCCACTTCAGTCTCTAGGAACCTAAGTCTCTTGATGTCTGAGGGCTGTATCTTCTTTATCTGCATCCATACGTTGTCGTGAGGGACAAAGGAAAGGGATTGTCGTCGTTGTGATCTGACTCCCTCATCTGCCTCCCAGACTCCACCCACATCTTTCTCCCCCATTCCCCTTCCCCGCCCACAACGCAACAACAAAGAGTGCGGCTCCGCAAGTCCGCCACGAGAGGGCGCATTCACCGGCTCCAGTCCGTCCCTGCGCCTGCGCAATGTTGGGGCGGAGCGGAGGGGAGGGGGTGGGATGGCGTCTGAGGGCCCCGCCCGGCACCGCGGATGATCGTCAGCAGCGCACGTTGAGCACCGCTGTAGGGGATTCAAGGCCACGGGTTCTGTGTCGCCCTTCCCTTCCGGATCCAGAGAATTTCTTCCCTACCGGAAGAGGAAAACCCATATGGAAGCAGGGGGCTGGACATAATGATCTCTTCCCCACACCATCATCTATATCAATCCTACGACTTCCAAGGATATTTCCATATCCCTCTGAACCCCTCCCCCTCCCCGCCATATTCAGGAGGTTCCAGCTTGAACACCTGTCTCCAGAATCTACCCCCTCCTCTTCCCCCTTTTATTAGAGACAGGGGTCTCACTATGTTGCCCAGGCTGATTTTGAACTCCTCCTGGGCTCGAGCATCTTCCCACCTCGGCCTCCCCAGTATCTGGGACTACAGGGGCCTGTCACCACATGCAGCTGCCTACCTTTTTTTTTGGTAAATTTCAGCCCTAAAAAGGGTTCCTAGAGCCTCCAGCCACTAAAAGCCACCAAACATTAGTTGGAGAAGGCCAGAGACCATTCCTGGGCAAGCTTTTTAGTTTACTGGAGAAACAAAAGGGGAGGGATTGTCCTAGATGCCACCTCACAGCTGGATTTCTGGACCCAGAGCCCAGAGCCATTTCTACCCAGACACTCCCTCTCTGTAAAGTGGGTGTAAGAAGAATCAATGAGATAATGGGAGGGGAAGTGCTTTGTAAACTGTAAAGCTCTGGAGAAAGTAAGGGGGCTTTTATTTATTTATAACTGACAGTGCAAGGCAATAGCTACCCAAGGCCAGCAGAGCCTGTGAGCTGGATTTAAAGTTCAGGTTTAGAAGCCACCATTCACTCACAGAAGGAAAGTAAAAGAGACAAAATCTCTGACATCTTTTGTAGATGACATGATAACCCAAGAGATTCTCCAGGCATATTGTTAGGAGTTATTAAGTGAGCTCAGCAATGTTGCCGGACAAAGATCAACATCCAAATACAAATAAAATACAAAATTCAACAGTGTAGCTAGACACTAGCAAGAATTCATTAGGAATCACAGTATCTTTTAAAAAAGCAATCAAAGGCCAGGCTTGATGGCTTATGCCTATAATCCTAGCACTCTGGGAGGCCTAAGTGGGTGGCCTGCTTGAGCTCAGAAGTTCAAAACTAGCCTGAGCAAGAATGAGACCCCATCTCTAAAAGCTAGCCAGGTGTTGTAGCAGGTGCCTGTGGTCCCAGCTACTTGG